GGGCGGTAATATTATAATGAGATCCCTTTGCCACGTCACCAAGGGAGTGAAATCAGACACGCTGGTTTTCTCAGACGCTTGCAGAAAAAGGCTTACCAAAACAAAGTTACTGGGTTAATCTTTTTCACGTTTCCTTGGTTGGTAGATGCACCGGGGACCTGCTGATTATAGCACTTAAAACGAAAAGTCAGATTTTCATGATATGTCACCTTTAATGCTAACTAATTGGACCTTATTGTAAAGTGTTAAATCTTTTATTAGGCTACTGGTAAGAGTCTCATTATTTTACACATATTTTTCCAAAATACTAATCATTTATTTATGTGGATTTTTTATAAAGAATAAACTACTAAGCAAACAGTACCTTTAGTAAAAAAAAAAAACTTCTAAGTTTATCCAGCACCTTGGTTGATGATGGTGTTATCATGAGTGTTGAGCTAGATTTGGCTTCACTTTCAGGAAAAAAAAGCTCAACTTTCATCTCATCAGACTTCAATGTTGGCTCTTCTCATAAGTGGTTTCCTTCTAGCCACTCTCCCAAAGAGGCTGAATCTATATGAACTGCTAAACAGATTGGTTATGTCTGGACAGTTTCTCATATTTCAGTCAAAGCTCTCAGCAGTGTTGTAGCTTTCCCTTCGGTTACTTCTCTGCTCTTTTAGTTCATTTGCTCAGTTTGGTTGATCTTCACTGCTCTTCTAAAGGTTCCAGGGATTGTCTAATGCGTAAACATACTGTGCAACTTTACTCCCCTAACATCTTACAGTGTTTGTTATATTTATTGCAATTTAATAAGTAGGGTACAACGGGGCTAAAGGCCCACCTTAAGAAAAAATGTGCCATTCACTGCGCCTAAAATGTATAATTGCAGAAAAAATATATATGTTGTATTGAACATTAATGGAGCAACAGATTTTGTGTGAAAATAAATCATTCAAGTTGTTTATTTTGTTTAAAAATCTTATAAATGTATGAAAGAGGGGCCTTTTACCCCACACACAGGGTAAAAGGC